CCTCCCACTGAGTGTATCAGGTAAATTTTAACTAATTACTAAATAAAAATGTGTTCTGTACTATCTTTAAAATACTGATTTTTTAATTTTGGGCTGAAAAATTTTGGGCTTGTACATGGGGGCGCCTTATTGACGGAAAAATATGGTACTCTGCCCACTCCAAATGGAAGAAAGTAGCATCCATGTTACAAGTTATAATTGATCTACAGGTAGTCCCTGGGTTAAGAATGCACGGTTTAAGGACAACCCATAGTTATGAACAGAGCCTATTGTAGCAAAATTCGAGTTACATACAAGTTTGACTTAAGGATAGACCTTGGGAACAGAACTCATTCTTAAACTCTATTAAACTGAAGTGTAGCCAGTTCGGGACAAAAAGACCCTCTTCACAAATTAGGCAGGGAACTAAGATAAATGAACTCAGGGTCACAAGATGGGGTGGTCATCAACAGATCAGGACTGCATGTATCCAGGCAGGGCAAGGCTGTTCACCAGTTCTCAACAGCTCTATCCAGCTTCAGCTTCTTCAGTACCACACACCGAAGAGCAGCTATTATGAATGGGTGATGGCCTTGTTGATTTCTTGATTGTCCATGTAGAGAGATGATGATGATGATGATGATTAATTTGACTTGTCCCCGCCCATCTCCCCACAACGGGGGATTCTGGGCGGCTTACAACAAACTAAAATTGGCAATACATAATTAAAACATCATAAAACCAAAGTTACAAAGAGAAAGAGATGCTCAACAGGAAGAACTTGAGCCTGATCTAGCAGGGTGATTTTTAAAAACTTTGGTTCTGTCAGAACTGGTCTGAAAGATACACATGATGTGAGACCTATGCATGGTTGCTCAGAAAGAAATTCTATTATATTCAATGGATCTTGGGTAAATGTGCAAGGAATAGTAATTGGTCTGCAGTTCTATATGTACCTGGCTCGAGTAAGATGCTCAACCGGGCCTGATTAGTGCCTAGCGGTGCATTCCTAAAGTATGTTAAACTTGTTAACATACTTTAGTGTTACTCTTGGCTAGACTTTGGTTGCTTACCATGTTTTACAAGACTAGCCTGTTTTGATAATTTGTGGTTGAATGAATTATGTTAATTCAGGAACTGAGTCAAGTATGTTCTGAGCTGTCCATCTTTTATTGGAGGAGCCTCAGGTGGGTATTTGGCATATTCAGGGAGAGCTAAAAATGGGGAGGAAAAGTAAGGGCAGCATATGCAGAGCATTTCTAACTTCACATTTTTGCATTTAAAGCAGCTGTTCCAACCTCTGCAAAAGGTATTTCAATGCTGTTCTCACCATTCTGAGTTTCAAACATTCCAGTTTTGGCTATCCAACTTGACTGTTCATTTGGAACACTTCCCAGAAAGGTTGGAATAGCATCAAGCCATTTC